CATCCCCCTTAAGCAAACCCTATAAAAAAAAAAAAAAAAAAAAAAAAAAAAAGAATACGTAACGTACCTCAAAGGACAGAGATGGGTTATTTCAACATACTCTTTTTGTTGCCACAACACACTCAAATGGGCATACTCATTTTGATTCTTAAAAAGTTATGAAGAAATAAAGCAATAAGTGGCATAAACATTGTATATGTATATGTAGAAGTGTATGCAAGGAGAGACACAAATACATAGACATACTTTTGACCTCTTGTCATGTGGTGCCTGATGTACACTCAGGACTCTGTAGAGAGCCCCCACCAACAAGAAGACCCTTGTCAGATGAACCTTGACCTTAGACCTCCAATCAAAGCTAGGTAAACCTCTGTTTTCTATAAATTACCCAGTCCATGGAATCCAGTTGTTATCAATGGAAGAGTGGACAGATGGATATAAGTTCTGTTGTAATTATATCAATAACTGGTAAGACCTTTCAGGTTATTTGTTTTGGCTTCATTCAAACTGATAAGATCAGCTACATTTTCCTTGAAATTACAATAATTACTTAGTTATTGTTGTTGGTTGGTATGGTAGAGAGGTAAGGTTTGGCAGAGAGGTAAGGAATGAAAGCAACACCAGACATCTTGAAAATGGACTAGTTGGTTCTAGTAAGAATGTGGGACCAAAAGGTCCCAATCATTAAAACTAGTAGTAAGATGCTGTCTGGACCAGTTGGTGATATGGTGGTTAAGGCAGCTGGATCTCACATGGCTGACTACATGGTTCAAGTCCTGGACTCAAGAAACACACTAGATAAGTGTACATGTGTATGTGCTCAAAATTTTGTAAGGAGGGAGAAATGGAGGAGAAGAGATTGCAGGGTGACTATCCTCCACGAGAGATTATTTAAAAAAAAATTTAAAAAAATTTACATTTAATCATTGTACATCTTAATAGTTTACAACATGGTTTTTCTCAGCTTGAATTAGTGCATATTAGTCAAGTTAAAGGCATTATTAAATACATTATCATCAACAGATAACTTTTCATTTTCATATCTCTTAAATGTTTTATTTTTAAAAATTTTTCCCCTGATCTCCTCCCTTCCACTCCTACTACCCACCCCCTTCTCTACTGTCTCTAGTATAGTTGGCCTCCCTGCTATTATACCTTCTAGTCTTTCAGCTTCTGCTACAAAGTGCAGACATTTGGTATATAGACCATATGACCCAGTAATTTCACTCTTAGGTATCTAACCAAAGATAGAAAAACAGGTAGAAAAACACACATCTACTTTTGTTGCAGCATTATTCACAATTACTAGGACATGGAATCAACCCAAATGTCCAAGGACCGATGAGTGAATTGAAAAAATGTGGCACATATACACTATGGAATGCTAGTCAGCCCACAGGAGAGTCTTAAAAAAGAAAAAAAAAAAAAAGACACAGTCAATAAATTCCACACTTAGGTATTTTTCAAGAAATTGGGAGCTTACAAATAACAATCAGATGCAAACTGCATGGATTTTATTACATGCATTCCCTTCAAAACAAAATTTGTTTGTTATTTGCTTTGGTTTAGGGAGAAAAGGATAAAGGAGAATCTAGGCATCATTCCCAACACTTATTTTGTGGGCCGGCATGATTTGGCTGAATCCTAACAATATAAGGTTTCCTGGGTTGAGTAGTGTTCCATGAACTTCAGAACATGACATTATTTGGAAATAAAATTAGTTAAACTACAATGGGGTCATACGGAATTAGAGTGGACACTAAATCCAATGACTTTATAAGAAGACCACATGAAGACAGAGACATACGCTGAGAAGAAGACCATGTTATGAAGGAAATAGAGGTGGGATGATGTAGCTGCAAGCCATGAACTGCCCTGGGTTACTGGTGACCACTGGGAGCTACAAGAGAGGCAGAGAATGGATTCTTCCTCAGCATATCCAAAAGAACCAACCCTGTAAACACCTGAATTTCAGACTTCTGAATTTCGAATCGTAAGAGCATCCATTTCTGTTGTTTGAAGTAGAAAAGTGGATGATAATCAGTTAACAGCAGGCCTGGGAAACTAATTCATGGGATGAGACCTTTTTGGAGAATACTAATGTCTGATGAATAAGCCATTTCAACATTATTCTCCTCCCTTTCCTCATTCATCTGGTGTTTGTCCTTTAACAGTATCTCCGGAGACTACCAAACATTCATTCTCATTGAGGAGCTTCCCATTTAGGCAATTTTATTTTGGATTTTTTTTTTTGATCCTAGAATTGTTTAAAATTCTGTTTTTTTTTTTAAGAGATTTTTTTGCTATAGAATGCGTGCACTTGCTAGAGAGACTGAGAGACTGAAAGCGAGAAATCACCCCCTGAGGGGGTTGGCCACGTTGCAATCCCTTTTCCATTCTCCTCTTGGGATCTTAGGCACACAAGCACATGCACCTGGCATGAGTTTTAATTCCTCAGCTTAAGGACTCGATTGTGGTCAAGTAGGAGGCAGTCCAGTGACTTAACCATTACATCATCTGCTGGTCCCAGGTTCTCTGTTCTTAAGGAAACTCTACTCTTAAGCATTCCAAGTAGAGGACAATACTCCCTTGATGTCCTGTTCATCACCTGTATACAAGGCAACAGGTAGAACAATGTCAGGAAACCCTGTTCTTTCTGTAGATATATATCCGAGAAAACAAAGACCTCTGTGCCCTACAACTTTAAAAAAAAAAAAAGGAAAAAGATAGAGGGCCAGCCCTATAATGCAGTGGTTAAACACTATGTTTGGGAGCTGGGTGGCATATGGCTGACCACAGTTTGAATTCTAGTTCTAAGGCTTAATAAACATGCTAGGTAGATGTGCACGTGTGCCCCAAATCCTGATGGGATGGAGAAATGAAGGAAAAAGATTGCAGCATGACCATGCCCCAAATAGGGTGTTTTCTTTCTCTCTCTCTCTTTCTCTCTCTTGCACATGTGCCTTCTGGACATTGAAAAAAAGAAAAGAAAAGAAAGAAAAGAAAAGTATGTATAAATACAAAAAAAAATTTTTAGGGGTGAATGATGAAATAGTCACTTAAGCATTTATTCAATTATTCTTTCATATGAATAAAGAAGTTTCACTTCTAACATTCTACAACATTGGTTTATAGTTTTAAGAAAGTGGAGATATTCCTGATCTCGGCATTGTAGATAATCTTAAGGTGAGCAATTAGTACTATTATTAAATAAATCTTTTCATACATTAAAATATTTAGATTTCTAACCCATTGCATCAAGTGCCTCATGACTAATATCACCAGCATCACTTGTTGGTTTGCATTTCGTTTGGTCCTCTGGACTGTCAGTCAGTGCTGATGGTGTCACGTGACTCTTGTATCGTGTCAGTGGAGATCTTTGGTTTTCAAATAATGGTCAGTGGAGTCCCGAGGCTCTGCGAATGTCTCAGGTGTCACCAGCAGTTAGGGGCCAGGTGGGCAGCCTGGTCTCCTGCTCAAGTCTGAATTAGAGCAGAGCCATGTTTATCTGTTTCATATATTGGGCTTCTATAAAAAAGTGTCCTTTGAACACAGTTTTCCTTTACAAATAAGATTACTGAAATCCCACATATCTATGCATGTCTTATGCTTTCTTTATCTGTCTCTCCTTTCTTATTAAAAATTCATCCATGGGTAAAATGAAAATGGAAGTAACTGCAAAATTAGCACCAAAAGCACTATAATAATTCATAATTGCTATAGTTATTAATGGCATATCATTAATGATGGCTCACTGAGGGATGTGGCAGAGGAAAAATAAATTACAGGTTCTGTCTAACTCTCTCTACTTGCAACTCCAACTGTTTCTTCCAATTTTAGAAAGCAGATAGGAAAGCGCACGAGTGAGAGCATGGTACTATTTGGAGGATAACCTTGAGTCTGTCCTAATTTATAAAAGAAAGTAAATCATTTGAATGACTGACATTCTAATTATTACTATTAAAATTATTTCAACATTCCTCCTTACTAATGACATCACATGGGTTGAGGACTTCCTACGGTACGGAGCTGAGAACAGGAAATTATTGCGTTGATTTTAATACCTGAAATTTCTGAGTTGCAAGGGATACATTCTATTGAGGACATCTTAAGCTTTGAGATGACACAATCCTTATTCTGTTTTGCTTGTTTGTTTGGTTTAATCATAATCTCAACAGAAGGAAGTTTGCATTTAAGGAGGAAAGCACTCTTGAAAGGGACCAGTTGGGATTAGAACCACGGTCAGCCGTGTGAGATCTGGCATCCTTACTCATTGGGCTATGGGCCTGGCCCTTCCTTTATTTTAATAGAGGATTGGTATGAATGGGCTGGGCAGTGGGTGGGGTCCACTAAAGTCAACAGTTACTAGATGAAAATTTTCAAGAGGGAAATTTAGTTCTGTTATTTTCATCGCAGGATTTCTGAAAACTTCCTGGGTTGCTCTTTTTAGTGGCAATACAGAAACTCAAACAACCACTCCAATAAAATTAGATGTGGTAGCACTCTATCTCTATAAATCAATATTTGTTTTAAAGGAATGATTAGAGGTTAAGAAACTGCAAGCCATTAACATGACTAACAGGGATTGTAAGGCCTTGCAGAAATTTCGCATCCACATCTAAGGCGCGTCTTGTGAGGTATAACGTGTGCCTCAGAGAGAGGAAATAGTTGACTATTGAACTTCAGCACATTTGGGGGCCATGCCAGGGGAATGAGGTGAGAAGATATTCACTATATTTGAATCAAGAAAATAATACTTCCGATCAGCTATATCATTGCTTTTGCCTTTAGGCAACCAATATTAAAGTTCAAGATCTGGCTCTGCAGTTAAATATACTGGGGGTTGGAGTCCTGACTGGTAACCTTGGATACATTATTTAACCTTGGTAAGTCTCATTTTTCTTAATTATTAAATGGCATCATACTGATAATTTTCTCATAAGGAAAAGACTAAATAAACCAATTCTTGCAAAGTTGCTGGCAACCCTTCTTATTCTTATGATTATGAATAGTAATATAAATAAATAAAAATGCAGGGTCATATAAGCCTTCAGAATGTGCACGACATAATGCAATGTTCCTTGTTGAATGATGAATATGGTAATGTTCTTGATTTGATTATCATGTACCACATGCATGCCTTGAAGAACCATACTGTACCCCATCGAGATGTACAACAATGAAATGTAAATAAGAAACTATAAAATAAAACTATAAAATAAATAAAATTAAAAGAAAAATAAAGCTTCTGAAATGTGAGAAGTCATGAAATATAAGTAATGCCCCCATCATTATTTTCAGTGGGTTGAGTAGGGGAGGATATGTCAGAGACCAGGTGCAGGAGGAGGATTTTCTCTAAAGATGGTCTGTAGTCCTTCTTGTCAAAATGCAGGCCAGATTTGGGAGAAGTGGCAATGCCATCTGGAATTCAAGACAATTTCAGATTATCTAGAAAACTGGTATGGCTGACCACTTGGAGTCTGTGAATGTGGTGTGTGAGGGACTCTGGGGGAGAAGGAAGAAAGAAAGAACAAAGCATGACCTATCAGAGTGAGTAGCAGTGTTTCCTTGTTTTGTTTTTAGCTCTCTGGTTTTGCATTCCAGTCTTGAGAGAGAATCACCAGGGCAAAATACTGCATGTCAATATAACCTCGGCCCAGAGGCCCAGCAGCCAGACCACGACTTCTTAGCCATCTTAATCTAGCAAGCCCAACTACCTGCAACCAGTGACCCAGAATGGTAAGGACTCCATAAATGACTACCAAGTTCCTTCTTTTTGCCCCAACTTTTGACTCAGGACCAACCAGAGAAAGCCATGTCTGTTCTCTGGACCAGTCCCATGACATGACCTGTAACTAGTGAGCTGCCTCCATTTCCCCTAGGACAACCAGCATCAATCCAGCACATCTGAGCCTACCCTTTCTCCTTGATAAAGCGTTCCCACTCACGGCACATCTGGCTGTTTTCACTTAATACCATGTTCGATAGCACGTAAGGGTTTTTTATTTTATTTTATTTTATTTTATTTTTTTTTATGGAACAGTTAAGTGTCTAACATTAATGTGTTAAATTACCAGTGATTAAAATGAATGTGTTTAATCCAGTACCCTTCGGTTTTGCAAGCCCTCCTTTGAGAAACTTTGACTTTAGGATCACAGATTTTGTGTGTGTGTGTGCTAGGGTACATGCACTCACCAGAGAGAGACAGAGACAGTGAGAGGGAAAGTGAGAAATCACCCTCCAGGGGAATGGCCACACCACAACCCCTTTCCTCTTATTCTCCTCTCAGAATTTTGGGCAGGCACACACAAGCGCCCTGTGTGATTTTCAAGCCACCAGATCCAGGATTCGGAACGCAGTCAGCCATGTGGGAATCTAGAACCATAACTACCATGCCACCCCAGGATCACGGGATCTTTTAAAAAACAGTTTTGTTAAGGCATAATTTGAATGCCCTATAATTCATCTGTTAAAAGTATATAGTTCAGTTACTTTTAGTAGATTTATACATTATGCCACCGTTACCATAATCCAGTTTTAGAAAATCTCTATCTCTCGTAAAGTTCCTCATGACTATTTGTAGTCGTTCCTGCCCCCACCCCAGTTATAGACAATCATTAATCTGCCTTCTGTATCTAGATATTTTCCTTTTTCTAGAAATTTAATGTAATTGGTATCACTAAAAAAACCCTAGTCTTGGGGAGAAAGACTCTTTCCTTTCTGTCTGGCCGCAGCCATCAGGGAGTTATATGTTAGTGTTTAAAATGTGTGGTATAGTAGGTGTAAAAAATTCTTTAAAACATAAAAAAACCCCACACAAACTCTAGTCTTTTGTATGTGGCTTTTTCCAATTATATAATATCTATGATGTTCATCTATGTTCTATCACATACCAGAAGTTTGCTCTTTCTTTTTTTTTTCCTGAATAGTATTTCAGTTTGGGAATACCAAATTTTATTGAGTCATTTAAAAATCCACGGGCATTGATTGGGGTTCACATTGGGGTCACATTGGGGTTACATTGATTGTAAGTGTTCACATACGTCTTTCTGTGGACATGTCACTTCTCTTGGCTAGATACCAAGGATTCGATTGCTGGAGCGTATGGTAAGTATATAGTTAACGTTTGAAGAAATTACCCAACTGTTTTCCGAGTTAACCGGAGCGTTTACATAACCACCAGCAATGTAGGAGGGTTCCAGTCTCTCCATATCCTCATCAGCAGTTGTGATTGTTGGTGTTTTGGGTTATAGCCATTCTGTTGGGTGTACAATGATGTACCATTTTTTACTTTACTTTGCATTTTCCTAGTGATTTACAATATTGAGTATCTTTTTATGTGCTTATTAGTCATTCATAGATCTTATTTGGCAAAATATCTATTCAAATCCTTTGACTATTTTTAATGTCTTCTCTTAAATTGATTTTAGGAGTTGTTAAAATGTATTTTATGTATGAACCCTTTGTCACATATGATTTGGAAATACCTTTCTCCAATCTGTGTTCATATTTCATTTACTTAATTATACATATATTGTTTAAATGTGTGTGCATGCATGAACAAGAAAGAGAGAGAGAGAGAGAGTTATACGCCCTTGGCCAGGCCTTATCACACTTCATCATTATTCCCTTTCTCTAGCCCTCCAGATCCTCAGGATCCTGGGTGCCTGGTCTGTTTTTAGGATGGTCTGGAGATTTAAATCCACAGTCAGTCATATGGCTTTTGACCTTCAGGGCACTTGTTACCACTGAACCACAGGGGCAGGCCTAATTACATCTTCTAAAGTACACAGTTTTAAATTTTGATAAAATGTAGTTTTATTTCTAAGAAATCTTTACCTAACTCAAGATCACAAACATTGTTTCCTATGGTTTTGCTAGTGAAAAACTAAGTTTTATAGTTTTAGCTGTTGCATCTGAATCTGTGACCCATTGTGAGTTGTTACTCTGTGTGGTGTGAGGTCACAGTCTAACTTCTTGTTTTTGCGTATGGTAACAAATTGTTCCAGGATCACTTCTTGAAAAAACTGTTCTTTCACCCATTGGCTTGGCACTTTTGTTGAAAATCAATTGACCCTAACTATGAGAGTGTATTTCTGAATTTTCTATTCTGTCCTGTTGATGTTCATCTCACTATTTTGATTATTGTAGCTTTATTGTAAGTTTTGAAATCAGGTTTGTAAGTCACCCGTGTTGTTCTTCCTTTTCAAAATTACTTTGGCTATTCTAGGTCTTAGGCATTTCTCTAAGAATTTTAGAGTCAGTTTGTCTACTTTGTAGGCCTCCTTGCAACTCTTGCACTGAAAAGCCTTAGGCCTGGGTGACGCAGGTTGGCAGAACTGTGTAAGTGCCTGATATTTGTGAAGGAGAAACCACAGGGAAATCTTTTGTGCCCACTGGAGTAGGTGGCAGAAGAGTAATGGCCCATGGGGGCTGAACACAATCTGGACAACTTCAAGCACCTCCTGAGCGTCTGTGAAAAGACAGTGGCTGAGATGACTGAACACTCATTGCTCTTCAAAGGGACTTTACATGGGTTCTCACAATAACGCTGTGGAGATGGTATGGTTGTTACCTTCACTTTATAGATGAAGAAACTGACATTCAGAGTGGTTAAGTAAATTGCTCTATGAATAAATGACAGAGTTAGTACTCAGGTCCAGGAGACTAGGTCCTGGAACACTGCTCATAAATACTATGTTATGCAGCTCTGCCCACCACCTCTTCTAGAAATAGCGAAGAGTGGAAGGCATTCAAAAGTTGAGGTTAACAGCCTGGTGAAGGTGACTAGAGCAGGCCTGAGTGGTAGCAAGTCCTGCTTGGTGTGGCATGGTGGAACTGTAAGAAGGATGCATTGTGCCTGCACTGCACAAAATGTGGTTCTTACTGCACACTTGTTTCCCTCTGGGAATCTAGAAACTTGGTTGGAGCCAGGTAGGGGGTGCCTGCATGACCAGCTCCCAGTAAAAACCGTGGGAACTGTGTCTTTAATGAGCTTCCTTGGAGGACAGCACTTCACACATGTGGTCACAGGCCGAGGCTGGAGGAATTAAGTGTGTCCTGTGTGAGGGGAGAGGGTTAAGGGGAGCTCTCGGAGGTTTGTACCTGGCTTCCTCTCAACCTTGCCTTCCACATGCTTTGACCCTTTGTTAATTAAAAAAAAGAAATCCTTTCCCTCTTCTTTATTTCTCTTTTTATTCATGATAGCATGCATGCATGTGCAAGAGAAAGACTAGCACCCTCTGTAGGGCCCGCCCACGCAACAACCCCCTTCTTCTGTCCTCCAGCTGTGAGATCTTGGGCGCTCGCCTGTGCATGCCTGGTGTGTTTCAGCCTGACCAAGCTGGTGATTCAAACTGTGGTCTCCATGTGGAATTCATCTTCTCCTGAGCAATGAGTTCCCCTGCCCCATGGACCTGGCCCCTTTGCTGATTGTGTTTTGTGCCCTTTTGCTGCAATAAATCCTAGCTATGAGGATGACTGTATGTGGGGTCCTGTGATTCCTCATAGTAAATGAAACTTGGGATAATGCTAGGGACCCCAATGCTTTAATCACATGGGAAGTTACACCAGAAATTGGGACCTCATTTGAACCTACAATCAGGTTGCAGGGACAAAGAGTAAGTTATATAGTTAATGCAGAGATTGTCATATTCATAAACCTAAGAGCATATGGAATTTCTGCTTATTTCACACAAAAATGTGAATTAACAATAAATAAAACTGAAGTAGGAATAGGAACTGGTGAGTATTCTTGGTCTATTCTTTGAAGACGAAATCAAGTCAATTAGAAAATGCAAGTGAGGAAAGTAGAACATTTGGAATTGATCATTAAAAATCAGAGTGAGCAGTTTCTGGCATGAATTCTCTTGTTCTGTAGATGGATAAACAGTTGTGCAGATGAGGGTATTTTTAAGATCCTTAAAGCAACCCATATCTCTGGTTGGAAGAAAGACTTTCATACTGACACAGCAAAAAGTTGCTTTAGGTTGAAAGCAGCCATTTTCAAGTGGCCATTTTCATTTTTACTGCCAATATCAAAAGACTAATAAGAAATGCATGGTGTGTTAAAAAGAAAATTAGATATTTTTGAATAAAATATATCATGGCATGGATTTCATGGAGGGAGAGGAACTATACATATGGAAAGTACATATATTTAAAATTTAATAATCAACTTGTAAGGATCAAATGAGATCATGTATGTGAAACAATACAAGATATTGTTATTATTCTTTGATTTTGGACATAGGTGGATAAAGGCAGAGATGAGATGTCCACTCTAAAGAAATTCCTCATCTGGCCAATTTTATTTTTCTCCATTTAGAAAGTGATCAAGTACTGTCAAGATAACACCACATTTTTGGATGCTTGTTTACCAGGATATTATTTTTATCGATGTCAGACACAGGTGTCAGGGTTAAAGTTTTCTTTTTCTATAAATATAAATTTCTTAGAGAAGGACTTTAGAACTGCTAGAGATTAAAGGAATTTAGTATGTGGTCACATTTTGATCCAAAATGTCAGAAATTGAGGATCAGTTAGGAATTTGAATTACCCTCAAAGGATTTTGTGTATAGCTATGAACCATAGGATGGCACCTGTCCAGTCATTGTCAACCATACATTCAACAAGGAAAACAGGAAGATCCTGGAAAAGATATAAGTGCATATAAGAATAGGCGACCATACATTCAACAAGGAAAACAGGAATAGCCTGGAAAAGATATAAGTGCATATAAGAATAATGACTAGTAAGAGTAAAGACAATATTTTAAATGACTTGTGATTTTCATTAAAATTACATTATTTAAAAAACATCTAACTTGTAAATAATTGCTTTCTGATTTCTAGTGCAGTTAGTTTGTGAACAAACTCAACAGCTGATTTATAATTTTAGTTAGTTTTAATCAATAACACTTTTCATCAATACTAAATGGAAAATCAGAACCCCATGAAGAGAACTTTTTTCATCTCTAACTCGTTTTGGAAGATACTGTGTTTAAGTGAAATATTTCTTTAATAAAATTTACCAGAAGATCTTGGAAAAAGATTTATTTTCTCTTCTTAGTTGTATTATACATTGTCTACCAACATCTTTGACTTCTGTAGGGAAGCATTTCTCTTCATTCTCTGAAATGTTCCTTTTCTGTCTTTTGCCTTTAATGTGTGAGTGCTCCTTTGACGTCAAAGGTCATATCTCGTAGTGTATGTCCGAATGTTTTTACTAAGAGGAGCAGTTAAAACAAACAACTAGGATTACTCCCTTACTGAATAAGAACCTATTATTTCAGAAATCTGAAAATGACTAGAAATGTTGACTTCACTTGTGTCTATTTTTTTTTTTTGCAGAAGAGATTAGTAGTAGAACAATGCTAACTTTTCATAAAAATTACAGTACACATATCTTTTATACAATGTCAATATAAATTTTGCATCAGAAAAAGCAGTGAAAAGCATTTGCTCACTTTATAACAATGTGCTTATGTATTGATAGGGAGGCAAAACAAAATAATTTCAGGGTTAAAAAAGCAATTCTGTGAACTTAAAGTAATTTTGTTGAGTAGAAATAAAATAACCAATTCTCCAAGCATATCATTTTTGTTCACTTCAAATGAGCAAATTCAAAACGTGTGTAAACCAGTTTAGTTGAATAAAAAGGAAGCACTTTATATTTTTCATGTAATTTTCTTGACATCTTTTATTACTTAGTGGGTTTCTGCGTCAATCAAAGAGGAATGGCAGAAATTGTAAGCTTTGAAAAACTCAAGTGATTTTCATCTAATTGCAAATTGGCACTACAAATATATTGGTAATAGTAATAGCCAGTAATTAATAGAAGTTTCTTAGATTTATACATAGATGTCCGTATATTAACCAGTATGCAGACCATGTATGTATTAAGTGGTTAGGAGCTTGGCTAACAGTAAACACTTGATGTGAATTATTCGTCATTATCTAGGCATTGTGGTATTACAGCTGTGTATTACTCGACTATAGATTATATTAAGTAAATAGAGGTAAATTCTGTTCTATTAATTCTAAATACTGGCATCTGCTTGTCCATTTGAACTTTTGACTTTGGCTCTGTCCATTTCAGTAGTCACCGTGTGGCTGATAACCATTTGTGTAGAAAGGTCAGCGATTCTCTCAGCACAGAATGTTAATTTTGGTATCATCTTGCCAGGGGAAGGAAGAAACGTGGCCTGAATGACTGAGGTAAAAGAGCTGGAAAGAATGCTCCTGGGAAAGTAATGTCTGCTTTGTATTACCAGCTACGAACTTCATTTTCTTCTTTAACATCAGTTGAGAAAGTCTCGCTGATTACATCAGTTGGCTTTACTGTAAAAAAAATCATTTTCTCTTTTTATGTAACTTTCTGGCAAGGGGTCTTGATTTAGTATATGCTAATTGCTGGGATAAAATATTGCTTGGTCTATTTGCTTTATGATAAAGGTGTGAGCAAATGCAGTGGGGTAGCCTCTGACATGGCTCTCAGTGGACCCCATCTCCCGGTTTTCATGACTGTGAGAAGTCCCCCGCCCCCCCAGTGTGGGCTGGGCCTAATGAATTGCTTCTAAGGAGCAGAAAACAGCCAATGATGATGTCACTTCCGTTTTGGGATGCATTTCCTTTCTTGCTCTCTGTCTTGCCCTCTTGCTTGCTGCCATGTTAGGTGCTCTGTGGCATGGTCTGTGTGGCAAGGAATTAACAGAAACCTCCAGTCAACAGCTGGTGAGCAACCAGGGCCCAAGTCTAACATGACAGGATCTGGGTCCTGCCAACAACCACATATATGAGCTCGGAAATACATCCTTCTTACTGAACCTTGAGGTGATTGAGGTCTTGAAAGATGCTCAGAGCTAGGGGACCCAGTAAAGTATACCTGGGTACTTGGACCCAGAGGAACTCTGAGATAAAGCATGTTGTTTTAGACCACCAGTATTTGGGAGGATAGCTGTTACATAACATGGATAACTAATACAGTGGATAAATGGAAGAACTGAATAACTACTTGATAGATTTGGGTTGTGGACACATGCAATCTGGTTAATTTAATTTCTGTTATCTGAGATCCTACAATATATATAATCTCTCTGAAGCAGTAAAAGAATTATAAAATATTTTGAACATAAATGATTTTTCTAATAATTGTACCTCTCCACACCTCCATTCCACACCCAGCGTGAGCTTTACTTCTGACTTATTTTACCCATAGACGTAGAACTATGATATTAGAATATTTTTTTCTTCTTTGAGAGAGACTTTATTTTTAAAATTTTATTTATTATTTATTCATTTCAATTTGACCAGAGAGGGACAGAGAGAGAGAGAGAGAGAGAGAGAGCGAGCAAGCCGCCAGATCCAGGACTTGAACCACAGTCAGCCATGTGGGAATCCAGCGCCTTTAACCACCATGCCACCTGCCGGCCCAGAGAGACATTTTTACTATAGGTTGCATGTGCTCGCCAGAGAACTAGAAAGAGACAGAGAGATAGAAGGTGAGAAATCACCCCCAGTGGGGATGGCCATGCCACAATCCCTTTTCCTTCATTCTCCTCTCAGGATTTTGGGCATGCACGCACACTTGTCCAGGGTGAGTTTTAAGTCACTGAGTCTGGGACTCGGACTGTAGTCGACTATGTGGGAGTCTAGCGACATAACTGTTACACCATCTGCTGGTCTCTTAGAATATTTCTTTTTTTTTTTAAAAAAAAATTCTCAGAGAGCATATGCAAGAGAGAGATGGAGATGGAGAGGGAGAAAAAAAAAAATTCTAAAAGATCATTTGCAAGAGAGAGATGGAGATGGAGAGGGAGAAAACTTTTCTCCAGTGTGTGGTCAAGCTGCAATCCCTTCTCCATTTTTCCTCCCCATTGGGATTGCATGCACATGCACATGTGACCGGTGTGTCTTTTAAGTTACTGGGGCTGGGGTTTGATCTATATAGTTGGCCATATGGGATGTGGCTTCCTTAACTACTAAGCCACAGGGCTAGCTCTAGAATATTTCTTTATACTTAATTACTCACTAGACAAATGACAAAAATAAAATAATTTGACAAAAATGCTTTGCCTCTTAGTGCTCCTGGCTATGTCCCATCAAGGAATATGAGATATGACATATATTTGTAAATTATTCAATAGCCATGGAAAAAATGACTTTCCACCAGGTACTCTTGGCAGAGTACTCCTTTGAGGTGCTTTGCCTCAGTTATTCCAATCACGATGCATTCCATCATACTCAAGAGTGGGCGCAGACACCGCCAACTGCAATGAGCTAGATGAAATTTGTTAAAAATTTGCTTTGAACTTATATGATATAAATTTTTCACTGCTTCTTCTCACCCTAGCATGTTTTGGTAATTCAGAAAGCATATTGTGGGCAGGTCGAACCTGGAGAATGTGATGAAGACATTTTGTCAGTGACATGGGCAGTAATAGGAGCATGCCATATTTTCTTCTTACAGCTTTGGATTGCTGTGTCCAGCCGAGCAAGGTGGGCAGAAAGTCAGGCTGAAGTTTCATTTTGTGTGGGAAACAACATGAAAAGTAAAGGTATTTCTGGTTTCACTTTATTCCAGGTCTAACTTGATTTTGAGCAAATGTGGTAGCTCTGTTGAAGATGTTCTGTTAAAATGTGGTTTTCATTTTTTGATGAGTATAGCTGATGCTAAATAATTTAGTTGTTGGCTTACAGGCAGTTTTGGAATGGTACAGATTCTTCTGCTTCTGTATTTAGGACACACTAATTAAGCATTTGAAACAGGAGCAGGAGGCAAGATCAGGTTATCTTGCAATTCGGGTTATGGTTATTCTGATAAAAAAGGTTTAGTGGAAGAAGGGGTTGGAGTTAACAGGAAACTTCAGCTAATTTCAGTGATCCATATTAGTTTCTGCTCCTTTTAACAAAGGAATCAAGTATTGGTCGGTTTTAAATATTAACTCCTCCTGGATCAATACAATGCTGGTCAAAATACAACAGGAAAAAATGTTTATTCATGAGGGTTGGGATTGACCCTAATGATAACTAGTTTGTAGTTCGGTGGTTGAATGTTATTAATACTCTTAACATTGTTGCTATAGGCAATTGGATAAACTGAGCCTATTAAACCATGAATCAGCTTTACTTACTTTCTGGGAATTTGCTGGTCCGTTTAGAGAGAAATTGATCTTGATTATCTGTTATTTGCTTAGAGCACTTGCAATCAGTCTGCTGTAGCGTTATTCAGTATCAGGCCCAGGCCCTTCCGACAGAGCCCACATATCTCATAGAGGCTTCTAGCGGTAGTTGTTTTCAGGAACTCATCTTCCCATTTTTTTATACAAGCCAATGATATATAGTGATTGAATGTTTAAAAAAATAACGAGAATAAATAATAATAATAATAACCTGAAAAAAATGATGAAAAGCTATTTGATGATAATGATATGGATAGTAATGTCTTTGTCCTGACTGATATGCATGGTAATTGTGCTGGAAAAAGAAATGTTATACACTGTAAAGATATGTGTGATCCAATGTAATATAAGAAGATTATGATAATAATAAATAAAATGAAATAATAAAAAAAAGAAACTTGTCTTCCCAACATCCCATGAAAGTGAAGCACATGCTCTAAGTAATTTGACAGTGTGGAAGAGGAGCATGGACACTTATCTTTAAATCCTTAATTTTAGACTGATTTCCCTATTTTCAAGTCGCAAATAGTTGTAACGCCCACTGCTATCTTGTGCATCTGTGCTTTTGGGCTTGCTGTTCTTATTGCTTGAAATTCTCCAGCTAATGGCACTTGTCATTCGAGACTCGTCTAGGTATGACCCCTGGAAGGCGATTCTGAGAGCTAGACCACACTCATCCCCACTTAGCGGAGGAGCCACTCCTCCATCCTCATATGCTCTACATTTACCTCCCGATCACAGCACTCCACATGGTAGGCTAACACGGATCTATTTGACTGACATCTCTCTGAACTCCCAAGACTATAACATCTGAGGTCAGGAGTCATCTTTAAAAGCTTAGTTATACATTCAAGATTTAAAAGTGTATTTCTTCCATGAGCGACAAAGACTGAGACACAAAAAGGCAGAGCGACGACACTCCCAACAGAGTCTTGATGCTGCGATCTACCACCAACTTCCGTCTGCCCAGATGGTGGGCAGGCAGAACTGGTCAGGTTACATGGTAGAACGGAATTGAGCTTGTGGGCAGCATGAAGGTTCCTAATTGGTTAACCTCAAAATAGGGAGAATATCCTGGATGACCTGGGGGGCCCGGTGTAATCACAGGGAGTTCAAAGGTGGAAGAGGAGACAGAAGGGCAGTCCTAGATTAGATGTGACATGGAATTGACTGTCCTTTGTTGGTTTTGGAGTTGAAGGAAGGGATGTATAAGCCAAGAAAAGCAGGAGGCCTCTAGAAGTGGGGTAAGGCAAGGAACCCTAACAGAGCCTGCAGGAAGGAGAACAGCTTTGATTTTAGCCCGGTGAGGCCTGGGTTATATTTCAGCCTATTGCAGGAAAAGTGTAAGGTAGTAAAGCATGTTGTTTTAAGACACTAAATTTATGGCAATTTGCTATAGGAGCAATAAAAAATGATGCAAAATAAATGGAAATCCTATCATATATGAGGGGACTTCAGAAAGTTTATGGGAAAATGGAATTAAAATACAAGTTATTTTGGTGCAAGAAACTCTGGAATCCATGCATAGTTTTTTCATCAAATGCATTTCATGAACTTTTTCAAGATCCCTTGTATATGTGCCATGCATGCCATGCACATGTCCACTCTGAACAGTTTAGGCACTGCCCCCATGGCTTTGCACACATCTTTAGCTACTACGTAAGTGAAGCAACTTCAGGGTGGTGAATCATTTCATGGTGTAAACCATGCTTCCTTTGTACTGTCTAAGAGAATATTTGGTAGTCAGAGTATCATAAGAAACTGAGATACAAGACTCATAATGACTTTAGAAGGTCACCTGTAGATTCTGTATTTTATAGTCTTTGTATCAAACATTTGAGGTTGGGCAGGTTAAATATTTGGAATAGAAAAATAGAAGTTCTTGGATAAAACTCCTGTGTGTGTGTGTGTGAGTGTGTGTGTGTGTGTGTGTATGTGTGTGTGTGTATATATGTATATGTACATATACATTTATATATATCATATATATATCAAATATATATATATCTATATATATATCAAATATATATATATATATATATATTTAAGAATATAAATAAATCGATGGGGTCAGCAGATGGCATAACAGTTATGTTGCTGGACTCCCACATGGTCAACTGTGGTTCAAGTCCTGGACACACTGGCTTGAAATTCATGCCAGGCATGTGTGTGCGTGTGTGCCCAAGATCCCAGGAGGAGAATGGAGGAGAAGGGATTGGGGTATGGCCATCCCCCCTGTGGATGATTTCTCACTTTACCTCTCATTATCTCTGTCTCTGTCTGGTACATGCACACACCCTAAGGCAAAAACCTCTTAAAAAAATGGATGGCATGTTTTCTTGCTTTGGTAAATTAAGGTGCAGCTACAATGAAAGCTCTGGCCCAGCTGCAGTGGTACAGAGGGGGAGCATGTTGGTATGATACCGGAACCACCCGGGAGGCCAGAATGTAGATACTGGGTGGACCTGGACATTGTCCACCTGTGATCCTGACTGGTTGGGAGGCTGGGGAAGGATTGTGGCATCCAGAGACCCTGTTAGTGGTCTGTTTTCCTCCTTCTCTCTCTCCGTCATGAAAAAAGGAAAATAAAATAAAAAAAAAGTTTTAAGAAAAATATGTGCATAGGACACTACATTGTCTTTTCATCTTTTAGAGGGAGAGAAAAAAAAAAAACAGGTAAAAAGTGTAGTGAGTCAGAAAGGTTGACCTGAGATATTTGCAAAGCCCATCAAATCTATTGTCTGGGTGAATCAGGGCAACTATTTTTTTTCTTTTGGAGAGGTTTTTGCTATAGGGCGTGTGTGCTTGCCAGAAAGACAGAGAGAGACAAGAGAAATAGAAAGCAAGAAATCATCTCCCCGGGGGGGGGGGGAAGGGCAGAGTATGGCCACGCCACAATCCCTTCTCCTCCATTCTCCTCTCGGGATCTTGGGCATGCACGCACATGCGTCCGGTGTGAGTTTAAGCCACCGGGTCCGGGACTTGAACCACCGTCGACTACGTGGGAATTCAACGACATAGCCATTACGCTATCTGCTGGTCCCTCAGGGAAACAATTTTTTGATAAATTTTGTGAGAAATTATAGCTATAATCTCATGAATTGATATCTCTGTATATATTTTAAAAATCATGATCAGAAATTAATATTTATTATAATAGAAAATCAACTTGTGAAAAATTCCATGCAAAGATTTACCTATTACTTAACCCTTTGATGTTTTAGTTTATACCTTTCAGATACTCTCACACATGTACTTTTTTAGCAAAGATGGTTTTATACTCATGTTATTTTCTCTTGATTTTAACTTACTTTTTAGTTCAACAGTATTTTGCCAACATATTTTATTTCGACAAATATGCCATCACTATTGTTCCTGATGGCTGTGTTGGTATGTCACTGTGGGTGAACCGTGATTCGTTTAATCGCTTGACATTGTTGACCATTATGCTCTGTTGCTAAGCAATGCTGAAATAAAATTCACTACTCACAACATTTCTGAGCTTTTGTCAAACTTTTCCTTCAGGATGCTTTCCTAAAAATAGAATTTTAGGGCTAATGGGTGCTCATTTTCAGTGTTTTGATATGCCATACATTCATTTTACCAAGTGAGAATCTCTGCTACCTTAAGGGACATTTCCAGGAAGCTTCTTGTCATTTGATCATTTTGTTCTGGGTAATCTACACAGCTCTTATTTCACAGGCCCATGTGTGTCTCGGATGACCACTGGAGGTCACCTAAGAAATTAAATATCCTACCTGCAGCTCAGATTTTTCTGTCAGAGGTTGACCTTTGTGTAAATCAAAGAGAAAAATAGTCTTGAGTGAATGCTTGCTAACTCTAAGGGCATTTAACACTGAAGTCAAAAATCTTTTTTTCTTCTTTCACATCACCACCTCTTTGAAAAAAATTGCCTCCATGTCTGTGGAAGACACAGAAGCGTTTGATCGGATTTCCTCTGTTTCTTTGTCATGCTCTTATTACTGTCACAATATTTTGTTCTTTTTTAATTTGAATTCATTTGTGCCAAGCAGCCAATATAAGGTAGCTTGAGGCCAGAATGTCTCATGTAAATTACTTTGAGCTTGTTTAATCAAGGTGGTAAGTTTTTACTATTTTATTCTTCCCACTGCTACTAACAATGCAGATTATACGTAGATTATATGGTGTTCCAGAATTTAAGCAATTGGCATCGTTCTGTTAATACATTTACGTCTTGATGGCTATGTCACCGTCATTCTTGAAGGCTGTGGCACTTACACTTTATAACCATTTAGCATTGGTTTAAGTATGTAAAAATTGTGTCTTTCTACATTCTGCCATTTGTTATTAACATATAATAATTGTACATATTTGTGAAGTACAATGTG